CCATATTTCAAGTCTGAGTTGAATGTGTTGTACCGTTGGGGAGATAATGAACGGAAACTGAAATTTTATATTATTTTCAAAGTAAAAGGGGCATAACTCTGCCAAAAATCATTGAACCATGACCAAATTCAAACTTGACCTGTATTTTGTCATGACATATCCATATGTCAAATTTGAGTTGAATGTGTGCAACCGTTCTCAAGATAATGAACGGAAACTGATGATGACGGAATGACAGAATGACGGAAGGACAGAAGGACGGAACAGGGTAACACTATATGCCCCGGCCATTACATGGCGGGGGCATAAAAAATGTCACTGTTACATCGATATCATTTCTTTCGATCACAGCTCTACGATACCGACTTCACATGCATATTTAAGGGTATTTGGGGAAGTAATTCCATGTAAGTTTCATCTGAGACTAATTATGTATCTTTCTGTCCCAGATTCAATTGCTTGTTTTAAGCCCTTTTCAACAGTTTATCAGTGATATAAGAGGTAGTTTCCTGACCAGCGTTCCTGGCACAGGAACTTGAAATTCTATCACTATTAACGATAATATGCAAAATATACCCCCTATATACTATAAGTGTTTTTTTTATAGTATATGGGGGTATATTTGAATATTATAATTAATATTGGTTATTTGATAGAATTTCAAGTTCCTGTGGTTCCTGGAGAGTTACACAGTAGTTTACTTAACAACTTTTCCCATGCCTTGTTAGATTGATTGATTCTTTTTCATGTTTGTGAAAATATGTTTACTTAGTATTTTGTTATTATTCTTAGTCTAAGTTCAAAGTTGTCATTCTTTTCCGCGACACGATAATTTTACATTTCTGAACAAAAGAGGTTGTTTATCAGTAAGATTTTTTAATTGAAAGATTTGCTTATACTTTTGTCTAAACTTATATTTCATCTTATTTTTGCGCTTGTTTGAACGATATAGATATCGTTGTCTCTGTCGGCTCTGTGCCTAAAAAGATCACGGGATACCTGCAGTAAGGCTTGTCCCACTTTCATAACATTGTGAAAATATTGTTTTTTTTTTTTTGTTCATTTTACTGATTATACAAAATATGCCTGTGCAAATGTATAATATTTAGTTCACACCCTAACTCATTTATAAACACGATTACATAACTGCCATTTTGTTGTGTACTCACGTGTGACATAATGGTTTCTTTGCGCATGCGCCGCGCGAATACTGGGTAAAATGTGCGTGACAATGAAACCGACTCATTTTAGAAGTGTGAAAAATAATGAATGCACACATTCAAATCAATTATTATCCTATTTTTTTAATTTTTTGAAAGAGTGGATAAAAATAAGGCTTTTTGCCATACCTTGACAACTAACTACAGTTACTGATGTAGTGGGTTGTCAAATTGGTGTGCGTTTGGAATTATGTAGTGAGTTCTTAGGTCAAACACACCCACACAAACGCGCACACGCACACACACACATACACATACACGCACATCTCGACTCATTTTTGGTGTTTTACACACATGTTAACAAAACATAGCTTCCAATTTTTATTTAATAAAAAGCGGCATCGCGAAAATAAGTGACAAATAAAAATTTACTTATTCCCTGCGGTAACATTCACAATTCTTGTTTTTTATTTCAATTTTATTAGATTTAATATTGTTTTCTTATTTAAAGAATTTTTAATCAGTCCTTTCGACAGGCATGATAAAACGAAATGGTTTGGGTACGAGTTGATTTCTGTACATGTACTATGATCAATTGAGGCTGTCTAAACTTTAGGACTAAACAGTATAGAAAAACAAAAAGTACAACTGTAAAGCTTATTAAGCTGCAATGAATTATTATAAGTAATATAGCATCAAAATTTAGATTCTTTTACCTTTCTCTGCCTCCGCATTCCTGTACTGTACCACGCAGTAAAAATGTCCGATTCCAAATTTCCTTTAAATGACTTCCGGTAAGTAAGCAGATAACCTTTACAAATTTTACCTGTTTATAAATTCATAGTGGATTTTAAATCTTTCTTAAAGTGTCTACATCTACTAATTAACAGCTTAAATAATATTTCCCATTTTTTGGCATTAATTTCAACCAATAGAAATGCTGTATTCCAGTTTTGTCAAATCTGACCAGCAATTGAGGACGCAATAATTCGCCGAGTGGGAAGTTCAAAAATGGCTACTTTTTTAGGTCGACACACAGCCCCGACACAATCATCATATGAGACCTCCAACCGAGGACACAACTTGATTACCATTTTTTTTACATGTTTTAGCAAAAAATAAGCATTTTTAGAGTATAAAATATTTTTGTCAATTGAGGATGGGCTCAATTGTCGTTCATGTCCTCACTCGTTGCTGTTATTCCTGACAAATGTCCTCAGTTGCTGGTCCTTACAGGAGCGCACACACACACACACACACACACACAAAGAACAAAAACAGAACAAAAAATATACGAAAGAAGAAGCATATCTGAGGCATAATGGGCCTTTAATGTACAATATAACATATTTTTTATTATATTTTGATACATTGTAAACAGGAGAACACATTATCAGTTATGCTTCAAATAAGTTTTGTATGATTTGTTTATACTTGAACTAACCTACATTTGTATTTCATTTCAACAATTTCAGATTTCTGCACTTGATAACTTTAAAGCAAGAGAATGAAAGAAACTTGTTTCTACTTGATGAAACGAACACCTGAGATAAAAAAACAACTTTTTTTCTAAATTTTGTAAATAAATTTGTTATATCTTGATATCTCAAAATTTTTGTTGAATATATCAGAGTTTTAGGACTGAGAATGACTGTTACTATATGAAAAATCCAGTATAATCACAAATTTTAGAGAACTGGCTCCGCGTGTTTTATCTTTTATATTTCAAGATCATTGATAATGCTATCAGATATTGCATAAAATTTCTGCTCCAATTTGAAATATTTCTTTCTTGCACAATTTTGTTGCTTACTCAAGACTACGAATTTGAGCGAATTTCGGAGCTATAGGAAACTTGTTCGCTGAAGTATCTTTAGCAGTACTATAAGACCAGTTCGCTGAAGTATCTTCAGCTAAACAGGTCTAGCAGTAGCAGTACTATAAAACCTGTTCGCTGAAGTATCTTTAGCAGTACTATAAAACCAGTTCGCTGAAGTATTGTTAGCTAAACATGTTTAGAAGTACTATAAAACCTGTTCGCTGAATTATCTTTAGCTAAACATGACTAGCATTACTTTAAAACCAGTTCGCTGAAGTATCTTCAGCTAAACAGGTCTAGCAGTACTATAAAACCTGTTCGCTGAAGTATCTTTAGCAGTACTATAAAACCAGTTCGCTGAAGTATTGTTAGCTAAACATGTTTAGAAGTACTATAAAACCTGTTCGCTGAATTATCTTTAGCTAAACATGACTAGCAGTACTTTAAAACCAGTTCGCTGAAGTATCTTCAGCTAAACAGGTCTAGCAGTACTATAAAACCTGTTCGCTGAAGTATCTTTAGCAGTATTATAAAACCAGTTCGATGAAGTATTTTTAGCTAAACATGTTTAGAAGTACTATAAAACCTGTTCGCTGAATTATCTTTAGCTAAACATGACTAGCAGTACTATAAAACCAGTTCGCTGAAGTATCTTTAGCTAAACAAGTCTAGCAGTACTAAAAAACCTGTTCGCTGAAGTATCTTTAGTAGTACTATAAAACCTGTTCACTGAAGTAATTTTTGCTAAACATGTCTAACACTACTATAAAACCTGTTTGCTGAAGTATCTTTAGCTAAATAAGTCTAGCAGTACTATAAACCTGTTCGCTGTAGTATCTTAAGCTAAACGAAGTTCTACTCGCGGGTGCCCGTCCGTTCCGGTGAGATTTAAAACACAACAAAAACATACATATGGAATAGATGTCTTTCCAAAAGTAATGTACATATGTACTTTCAAAGTAATGTACAGTTCTTTCCGGAAAATGGTGCTATTTACGAAAATTGACCTTACGAAAATGAAGAAATCATTGCACTGGTCTAAACCACACGGGCATCTGGCGGCCATGTTTCTTCAGGGAAGGTCCGTGCCTGATATTGTCGTAAACGGAAGACTCCTGGTCAAAGCGGAACAAAATCTAACCAATAAGTAGGTCATGTTTGCAACCAGAAAATGGTGCTTTTTACCAAAATTCGTAGACAAAAAGAACATTTCATCGCATTGACACGTACGCGGGGGATCTAGCGGCCAAGTTTCTTGGGCGAGCATCATGTGTCTTATATTATCATAAACAAGAGACACCAAATTATTACATGGACCAATTAGCAACGAAATTAGACCCAATGGGTAGGTTACGAATGACTCTAGAAAACAGTATATTTACAGAATTGTATTGGCTTACACTCCTGTTACGCGGACATCTGGTGGTATTAATGATTAATGGGTGCTTGCCATGTGCGTTAATCTGACTAAATTCATATCTACTTAAGTTATTTCTTGCATATAGATCTGATTGTCACCGTATTTGTTTCGCCTTCATTTATATGAGCAGATTTTTAATCAGATCGCCATGTGGGTTATATTGTCGTAACGGGAGACTTTTAATTATTTGGTTATTGCACTGGCCATTGGCGAATGGGTCAGGCACGATTGCCTCAACTAAATGGTGCTTTTCACAAACATTTGTAGAGATTATACACACAACCATGCTATGTTTTTCGGGGAGCGCCATGTACCGAATTATTTCACATAAACCGTACAATGGCTAAATAACTTTTTACTGCCATTTATAAATATTTATGGGGAAAAATCTTTTGTGACTTCGATCTTTGTATCAGTAAAATTAAACGCATCCGATGTGTAAAATTGTTCCCATTTATAAGGTCTTAATGAGTCTTTATCTTAAATTGTTCTGTTTAAGAATGTGATTGCAGATAAGTTAGTAATCGTAACTATTCGTCCTTTTCCGTCAAACTTTTGATAAGGACTACAGGTGTTCCGAATGATGAGAAGTAGATTTTATAAGGTTCATCAAAACAAACTTAAAGTTACTGTTATCTAACACATGTACAAAGAGTTCATCAAAATGCTAAATAAGTATATTCTTGACATAATTTTAAGGTGAGTTCACCGTTTGTCATATACTGGCCTACTTCTGTGAGAACATGTTGTATATATTCTGTATTGCCGTTTCTATGGCTATGGTACAGGGATGGTACAAGCCACATCCTGGTACCCGTTTCCAATGGCAACTGGAAGTGGATGGAGATTATCCGCTGGATTATAGTATGCATGCTGATATGTACGATACTGACCTGTGGGCAGTCACCTCTCATGATATAGCCGCTATACATGCGTAAGTTTTCTATTTATATTGTCATTAAATTGTAGAATCGTCGAATAGTAATCCGAGGTTTACTGACCGCGCGGGTTCAAACCCAGTCAGGGGCAAGCCATTGTTTCCTGAGGCAAAACAAAAAAGTATTACATTTATGGCTTAGATTAGTACTAGTTGGTTCTAGGAAGGATTCGTGAGTGTTTCAATAAGCTTATAGCTTCCAACAACACAATCGAACTAAAATAAATTTGTATAAACTAAATCGTAGAATGCATGAAGATTTTCTTTATAATGTTAATGACAATATATTAGCAATTCTCCCTTTTATATTTTTTGCTTGCATTGATAATTTTAGCGGTCGAGAAGTACTTTCGACATATTTATGTCTACTTTCAGTGATTAAGATGCTAGGTTGAAGGTAATGCTTTCTTTGTAAAATAAAGCATGGGAACGTGTGTAAAACATATTTTGTTCTATATAAATTATGCTCATATTTAGAGGAGAAAGATATACGCTATTTATAATTTGGGTGTTTTGTTAAAATAAAATATATGTGTGCTAATACGTTATGTTTATTGCAAGGTAAGAAGAAGGGAGTGGGGGCATTTGCACCACAAATATGATCTATTGTGGAAGGGAGGCGGGGGAGGCGACAATTCAGTCATCAATGATTTTACATTTGATCACTTTTATTACTTGTAGTTGTTGTTTTACAGAAAGGGCGGGAAAGTGATTTGTTATTTTTCTGCTGGGTCCTACGACCACAACAGACCGGATGCTCATCTGTTCCACAGTAGTGACATTGGAAACAAAATGGACGGCTGGGATGAAAAATGGATTGACATACGGTAAACTTTGATTTCAAAAAGAACTTATTATACAAGATCTACATAAATTTTGTAGTAGAAGACGCACGTACTGCACGTATAATCATCAGATTTGTACGAACATTAATCTTCTCTAGAAAAATCAAAATATGATCAAATGAACTTTAGTTGTTGTTTTTCTAGATGAATTTAGCATTTAACAACTTCAGTGCCTGCATTTATCGAAAAAGACGATTTTATTTAAGACCAAATCATAGAAAATATGATTTGCTAAATGAGGTATTAATCAATTGTTTGCGTAACTGTAACGGAAATGTATATCGTTTTAGATCGTCAAATGTAAAGTCAATAATGCAGAAGCGTATGGACCTTGCTAAAAGCAAACATTGTGATGGTATTGAACCGGATAACGTTGACGGACACGAGTCTGGTAACGCAAATATCGGGTTTAGTTACCACGACCAACTCGTCTACAATAGATGGCTGGCTGATCGTAAGTAAAAAAAAATGTACAAAAAACTGTACATGCAAGTATAAGTAAATTGTTTATGTACAATATTTATTGTACATATTTCTCGAGAGATGTCGAGAGTTTAATGCAAGTAGTATAATGTGTAGCATATAACATATTTGTTCTTGATAATTTGAAGCTGTATTCTGGTTTGTTTTGTAAGGAATGGGTATCCTTCGAAAAATGTCTAAACTAATTAAGTGCCTTACACTCATTCAAAAAAAGGAACTTGAAATTATATTAATATGTATTTATAAAATGCGCATGTAACTTATAAGGATTTTACATAGTGACGTACAAAAATGACTTTCGAGAAATATCAAAATAGCAGACCTGGTGTATTTTTTACATTGAATTAATTATATCATATGAATAATTCATTCTTAAGAGGCGCATGCGCGTGGTCTTTCAATCGGACTGAAGAACGACGCTGAGCAGATAAAAGAACTACACACATCGTTTGACTGGGCTCTGAATGAGGAATGTCACTCCAATGACGGAGGCAGGGAGTGTTTATTGTATCAACCATTCCTTGATGACAACAAGGTAAAATCTTATGTAACCCTTACCATCCTGAAAATATCTTAAATGGACAGGGTCGTCAAAATCGTTCATCATTTTTAGTAAATGTTTCAAAATATGTCCTTCTTTACTGGTGGAGGAATACCTGCAGTGCGCCTTCCGAGCATTTTTTCAGGCACGAACAGGGTACGTGAGTACAACCGCCGGCGTTTCTAAGTGAACATAGAAAGAAATTTACACATACAATCGACGTAAATAATCAAAAGGTCGTAATATACAAAAATAGCCCTTAGTATGTAACGCAGTAAAAATATAGTGATAAAATCTGCAAAATCAGTTATTAATCGCACAGGACACGTAAATTCTTACTTGAATCTTATGACTTTCTTTAAATCTTAGTTTGATTTCCTTGATATATTTTGGTTCATTACATCTGGAGGCTTGCAGCTTTAAACGAATGTGCTAAATATATTCTGTGTTTCTCTTATTTCACAGCCTGTATTCAACATAGAGTACGTGAACAGCAAGCACGTCTCCTCGGACATGAAAAGGAAATGTACAGATCATCACCCTCTTGGTATGAGTACACAGTTTAAGCTGTGGGACGTCACAGCATGGGTGTACAACTGCCCTGGCCAGTAAACGTAATACAGTTGTAGCTCAGGTTTATAGTTGATAAAAAATATATCAAGTTTGAGATATTAAAGAGTGATAAGTGATACTGAATATTTGTTTTCATCACATCATTAAAATATGTTTTAGTTTATCTTAGTACTTTGCTTAATAAAGTAAACCATTTTAGGAGAGAACTTGCAATATTGATAGTCTCTCATAATGCCATTTTTATATATACATGTATGTACCTACACTTCATATAAGAAATTTCCATTCAAAGAAAGCATGTATTGGACTTCTGTATTGATGATATTGATCAAAGTAATAAAGTAAAACTTATCTATTTGTGATCTTTTTGAATAATATATAATCATTGTAGTGATCATTTTAACAAATCACATGTTATAGAGTGATCATTTTAAGAGTGATCATTGTTTTAAAGTATTACATATTATAGTGATCATTTTAAATAGTTACATTTTATTAAAGTGATCTTTTTGAACAATTACATATTAAAGTGATCTTTTTGAAAAATTACATATTAAAGTGATCATCATTCTCAAAAGTTACATATTATTAGAGTGATCATTTTGAACAATTACATATTATAGTGATCATCATTTTAAATAGTTACATGTATATTATTAGAGTGATCATTTTGAACAATTACACATTATAGTGATCACCATTTTAAATAATTACATATGATCATGTAATCACTTTAATTCATTACATATAATAAACTTGCTTATGACAGAACTTTTTCTCTTTAAAATATGTCATCGAATCTGCTCTAAAAATGCTCAAGTAAAAGAAAAGATGTGTTTTAAAGGAACTCCACTGAGGTCCAAAGGCCTAAAAATATAAAATTTGAAAATCCTACAAAGATCAAGTGAAGTATTTAAAATAGAAAATCTACAAATGATAATAAAAAAAAAATATACTCAGAACTAAATCGGAAATCGATTTTTACACGATTCTGATCAGTATTTGAGTGAAAAGCGTTGCAATGCTTTTCATTTGATGTTATTTTGCATAATTTGAGTGCTTATTCTGGGGTTGAGAGAATGGCCTGAAAATTTGCACACAAGATATTGATCCATACCTACATCAACTGGTACACAAATCTGGAAAAATATTTCAATCTGCAGTGGAGTCCCTTTAATTATGAAAGCTGGTAGGAAATAACAACTCCCAACTAAAATTATTTGAGCCGTGTCACAACAAAACCAACATAATGGGTTTGCGACAAGCATGGACCCAGACCAGCCTGCACATCCGCGCAGTCTGATCAGGATCCATGCTGTTCGCTTACCAATTCTATTACAAGTAGAGAAACTGACAGCGAACAGCATGGATCCTGATCAGACTGCGCGGATGCGCAGGCTGGTCTGGATCCATGCTGGTCGCAAACCCATTATGTTGGTTTTGTCATGACACGGCTCAATTTTTTGTCCTCAGTAGTAGTCTTACTAGGTTGGTATATGTTAAAAGCTTGAATGTGACATCAGATTGCAGTAAAAATTGGACTTTGACCCAAGCAGCAAAAAGTAATGAAAGAGAACTAAATACATTTTCTGAAATTTATATATTATAATTGTGACAAAATTGTACAAAATATAACAATACAATGAGCAAAATATTTCATGAAACAACACCAGTAATACAGATTAAATATACAAATTGATAACCGATTCATAACCTTTTTATTAATTGTTAATACTGCCTTGTTTCAGATATTAAAATAATCACTGTACATCCCTTGGAAAGAGTTGGGATTAAGTTTTGTAAATCACTATACAAATAATACTCTGAGATAGTGTGAGTATGGTTTGTTTACTCTCCCCACCTGAAGGAATCATATGTTCAAGCATAAATTCTGAGATATAGAAAATACATGGTTGATGTCGGGATGGAGAAGGTTTATCCGGTGAGCGAGAAAGTGTATCTTGGCGAGCTTTAGCGAGCCAAGATTCACTTTCGCAGCGAACCGGATAAATCTTCTCCATCCCGACATCAACCATGTATTTGATTTATCCTGCTTTTTAATCATGTTTTTAGAATAATTAAATGGTTAAATTCTTACTTTTCCCGATAAAATAACATCTAAATGTAGTTTTGTTGTGCTGCTAAACATGTGACGTCATCATGTGACGTAATGACTGGAGATAGATAAGTTTATCCGGCAAGGCTTTATCCAGCTGATGATATAGATAGTCCAAGAAATTTGTGAAAAAATTGTGCACCTTCTGTGAAAAGCATGAAACTTGGCATGGTGTCAAGGAATGGTATTTCAAGTTATTTCAGCCTGGGATCCACTTTTTAAAAATCCAAGATGGCCGCCAAAATCCAAGATGGCCGCCAAAATGTAAAATGTACACAGGTCATGTCAAAATGAAGTTATTTATGACTAGAAAATGAAATAAATTGACATTATAGGTCAAAAATAGTAATTTTCTGGAAAATTGCTTAAGTAGCATTGGTAGAAAATTCAATATGGCTTCAAAATCCAATATGGCTGTCATTAAATGATGATATATTTTGACAAATTTCTATAATAAAGGTAATTTGTATCATCAACACTTTTAATACATGAAACAAACTAAAAAAAGAGGTATTCCTGCATAAAACTGCATATACAGATGTACATTTACAGAGAAAAAAACTTGCATTTATGGATAACCATGCGAGCACATTATTTAGCTTGATATTTCAAAGAATAGGGAGCAAGTGATATTGTACACCAAAGGCGTCAGCTTTACAAGTTTTTCATGCAAGTTGGTTTTGTGAAAAAATCATGATGCAATACGTTAAACCCTATTACACTTATTTTTTAGCATAATATAAGGTCACCGTTAAAGGTCAATAACTCTATCATGGATTTTGACAGAATTATGTCCCTTTTGAATATAGAGAATTCTTCATAATCTAGGTTCTTGTTTAGCTATAAAGCACCGAGAACAGGCTAACACTTTATGATGTCCTACCAATAGCTCTTGTCAATGTGCATGATTCTGATACCATGCAAAGCCGCTGATTTTAATAATGATCCCCAGTTACCTTGTTATCAAAACATAACACACAAAAATCAAAGTTAAAATCAATACAAAACTAGTTTCTTTATGCGGAAAACAACATATCGTAGAATCACCGAAACAGAATGACTAATACATTTTTTTGTGCATCAACATCTACAGAAATTGAAACCTGAGCCCATAGAATGAGGGCTCAGAATGCGTCTTCAAGCTTCTGTAGATGTTAATGCATGAAAAATGTGAATTAATCCTCTATTGTATTGTATATTTTAGTGCACACAATTCCTTAGCTTATTTGAACCAAATGTTTAGTATGATTTATACTAGTAAGTGTCAGAGACAGAAGGGTTTCTTCTCCTGTCAATCTTTTAATAAATTTAGTTTGCACCATCCTTGTGATCGTCTTACTGCAGCTGTGAGTTCTTTTTCATTAGTAATTTAAGCAGCATATATTTTGTGTCATACATAATGGAATCAGACTCTTATTATGTCATTATTTTGGCAAGGTCTTATGAATAAACAACAAAAACAGAATGAAATTGAACAAAAATATCTTGGGTTTTTCTGTAATCAAACTTAAGTGTTTGACATTATTACGATAAGTAATTCGTGACTTTATATGAGATCAAGTTAAGACTTTTGCAGCTCTTTCTATTTGATAATTTTGATATGAGATTCCAATTTTAAGATTGAGATACTAACTTACTGACTTACTGCGAATTTCGGGGCTGCATTTCAGGGGCAACGCTCTTAAATTACTTGTTAATTTCTCCCTCTTATATTTTAAAGCAGTTGAAATGCCTGATTAAGCCTTACATAATCATATGTATTTTCTGATATTACAGTATAATAGTTGATTTATAATCTCAGTTGTTTGTTGTTGTTTTTTTGTATTTCAAAAACAATGGAAACTCTTTAACAAATTATAAATTGTTTACTTAGATTAAATAATTTCTGTTTGGTTTCCACAACTGTCAAAGGACTGTACACAAGAACTAGTGAAATCATGCCGAATTTAGCTTAACTCATGAGGTTGTCATTTATTTCAGCTTTTTTTTTTTTTAATTTACTCCTAGAATCACAACAACAATGAAACAATGGACCTTTAACTTGACAGACATTCAGTACTAGATCAATAGGTGTTAATTATAGATAATTGACTAAAGTTTTCTTGTTTATACTGATTAGTATTAGTTGATAACACTTTAAACATTACCTTGCTTCAGTTAGTATAAAAGCGAACCTGATGTACAACTGTTGAAATATCATTATTTCTAACATTTTCAGCAATTTATCCACAATTTTTTTAAGAACTGTCACTTTGACTTTGAACATAAACTACTTCAAGTAGTCTTGGGTTACGTTTTACTTTTTATTCTTATCAAAATACAAATTACAGAGTCTAGAATTCTCTGAAATTATTATTATGAAGTGTTTTCTTTTTAGGGAAAATGACATAGCTGTTGGTAAAAATATACAAACATTTCTATACCATTCCTTTAGCACTTGCACAATGACCCAATAGGAGGTCAGCTACATAATATTATATCATTGGAATAAGGCTCAGCTTAGTTTGATTGCAAGTTGCTTGAACTTGAAAATTACCTAAAATAGCAAAGAGATTTTTATTCAGAGCAGATAATGAAATTATGAGATAGTTTTAACGTCCATTTTTGTTTTAAATATTCTTTTGTTTCTTTTGAGTTTTCGTAAATCAAGTAAAAAGAAATCTGAGCAATTTAATTATGAGCATGTTTTAATATGAATCGGATGCTTTAAAACAGTTTAATAACTAAATGGGTTTTTGTCACAAAAACATGTCTCCAAAACTATGTATGGTCACTCATGTGAAGTTTCATTGAAATCCCACCAGTAACTTGACCTGTGAAAGCCGGACAATATCTTTTTATTTTAGCTCCGACGACCATTTTGTGCAGCGAAAGCGAACTGTGCTGGTGGTGTGTGTGCACAACTAGGGATATTTCTGCTCTCTCCTGTAAAGTTTGGTTGATATTCAACCAGTAGTTTGACCCAGTTTAGGCCGGGCAAGATATTTCTGCTCTGGTGGCCATTTTGTGCAGCGAAGCGGAATGTGACGGTGATGTCCATAACTTGGATGGTACTGATTAGGGGGCCTCCGTGGCCGAGTGGTTAAAGTCGCTGACTTGAGATCACAGGTCCCTCACCGCTGTAGGTTCAAACCTCACTCAAGTCGAAATCTTTCATGTGAGGAAGCCATCCAGCTGGCATACGGAAGGTCGGTGGTTCTATCCAGGTGCCCGCTCGTGCCTGAAATAATGCCCGGAACACCCGGGGTCTTCCTCCACCAATAAAGCTGGAAAAAATCGACGAAAAATCTCGGCGGGACAGGTACTGATTACTCCTGTAAAGTTAAGTTGAAATCCGACCTGTAGTTTGACCTGTGAAGGATGGACAAGCTTAATGCGGTCGAACGGACAGACAGACAGACGGCGAAGGCAAATACAATACGTCTTTCATGCTGGTATGGTTAAAAAACATGTAATATAATGTATTTGTGCTATTTTATACTTATTTGAAAATGATTACAGCTGGTAAGCTAACATATTCTGAAAAAATTCAACATGGTGGCCATCTTGGATTTAGGCAAGCATGTTGGATATGCAAAATCTAGATCCAAGGCTTGAATATAAATAAATATGCAGTGCCATAATTTTAAATTAGTCTTATTTTATACTGTTCTGTAATGACGACAACAGCTGAAAACTATTACATTCTGCAAAATTTTAATTTGGCGGCCATCTTGGATTTTGGCAGCCATCTTGGATTTGCACAACCTGGAATCCGAGGCTTGAAAATATAAAAATTTGTAATATAAATAAAGTGGTGCTATTTCATACTGACCTGTAAAGAATAAAGCTGAAAAACTTTAATATTTTGAAAAATGAAAATAAATGGCGGCCATCTTGGATTTTGGCGGCCATTTTGGATTTGCACAACCTGGATCAGAGGCCTGAATATAAATTAATCTGTAATATAATGAACTGATGCTTTATTACTATTCTAGGTATGACTACAGCTGAAATACCCAAATATTCTGAAAATTTTAATATATGGCGGCCATCTTGGATTTTGGCGGCCATATTGGATTTTTAAAAAGTGGATCCCAGGCTAAAATGAATTGAAATACTATTTCCTGCCACCATGCCAAGTTTCATGCTTTTCACAAGAGGTGCACAATTCACCCTATTTTATGCACGGATTTCTTGGACTAAGACGGTAGCAGGATAAATAACAGTCAGACTTAAGTCCGATCAGACATCTGTACACGTATATTCAGACATCAGTATATTCAGACATCAGCAAATTCAGATATGCGCACATTCAGGCCTTAGTCCATTCAGACATCAGTATATTCAGACACTAGTGTATCAGTATATTCAAACTGTGGGGATGTAGGGGATGTACAGGTTTGTCTGGCTTTATCCAAGTGACCAAATATTATTAACTTTTGGTTTACAGAAAGATAATGATTGAGAATTCAACTAACACATAATTTTAAATAACAAATTATTTGTTGATAGTCTCATCAGGTTCCTAAGTAAGAAAGCAATACAGAACAAATATGGAATGATGGATTTCGTTGTAACTAAGGCAATAAACTAACTGCACCAAAAAACAATAAATTCCTCTGTTTAGAAAAAATCAAAATGTAAACAAAACAAATGGCACTACACTACAAAAGGACTGAAGCACAAAAAAACAACAAAGTTATCAATCAATATATTGTAAGACAATTTTTTTTATGTATTTTGTCTCCCTTGTACCTACAGTAATGTTCTTAGCTGCCAATTTTCCTTACCGCTTTTTCATAATCCTTTTTTTTACAAAACATGTATCAATCTCATTAAAATCATATCCTAACTGTCGCTCCATGTAATTTAAAACACTTTTACAAGTTTGTTGTAGTTTTCGGTCTTCTGGCCTTTTTCAGCGGCAGCCTTTGTAATGTTTTACCCTGTAGGTGAAAAGCTAGCTCAACACCAAGAGTGGTTTATCCCCTTATATATATACCTACATGTTAATTCACCACCTTTAGTTTTTGCATATTGTAATCTTGATTATGAATATTATGACTTTGTTTGTTTGTTTGTTTGTTTCATTTTACGCCTTTATCCAACATTATTTCAGTCATATAGGCGGGTAGTTTCCTAACCATCGTTCCTGGAGAGTTACACCAGTACTAGACAACCTTCCTCCGCGCTAAACTACCAAAGCATCTCCCGGGGATCGAACCCACGCCAGAGAGGTAACTGGATTAGAAGTCATCGACTCTAACCCCTCGACCACAGAGGCGGTATGAATTTTATGACGTTCTACCTACATTGTTACACCTTATTCAGCAGCATTTAAGGAGGTTTTCGGGAGTTTTCATATAGACATATAGGCAAAATTAAAACTGTTCAATAGAATTTCTTTCAACTTGGCATGTTGTTAGAATATGATAACAGAAACATTTTAAATGGAAAAAAATTGGGGTCACCGTTCTCATTGCATAATTGCACTTTATTATCTAACATTGCAAATAAGATACAATATTTAACTAGCTTGGCTGAATACCTATTACAAAAATAAACTGATTTGTTCAAAAGCAAACTTCTAAGAACAGAATATTTATATTTTTAGGAACAACACAAAAATATTAACAATACAAAATATGTTATCAACAAAGGACAAAACAACACAGGTTTCTAATCACACATATAATTCAAATCTACAAAAAAATGAAATAAAAAAACTGCTGATGAAAAAAAAGAGAACAATATTGAAAAATATGCACCTGTTAACTATGCTCATTATCAAATGAACAGGAACTTAAAGAGTGTAGGACAAAAGCCCTCCCGGACAAAAGCCGTCCAAAAATTACCAGGATTTTTGTCAATTTCTCAAACTCAAATGTTGTAAAATAGCCAAAATACATAAAATTCGAATTTCTTACTTAAATCAGCTGGGGCACTTAAACAGCCAATATGCAAATGAGAATTAAGAAATATTCTCAGAAATAAATTTCTGAAATATGTGAATACATTACAAAAAAGTCTATTGAACACATCATAAAAAGTCTGTTACAGGTCAATGAAATCTTCCTTCAAATGGATTAACTTTATAATTACTCACATGATTTCTCAAAACTATTTCAATCAGGCCACACAACTGAATATACAAATAAAACCATATTCAGCAAATAATGACAGCAAAAGTTACAAATGTAACTTATCAGATCAAAACTATAATTGTCAATAGTAATAAACATGGTATTCCATTCTTAGAAAGGAAATGTGTAAAATTGAATTTGTTTTAGATACATGTAGCATGTAATACAATACATGTAGCATGTAATACAATACATGTAGCATGTAATTCAATACATGTAGCATGTGATACAATACATGTAGCATGTAATTCAATACATGTAGCATGTAATACAATACATGTAGCATGTAATACAATACATGTAGCATGTAATTCAATACATGGAACATGTAATACAATACATGTAGCATGTAATACAATATAACGATATGCTTCACAAATAAAACACACCATATTATTATAATTCAAAGGGTATGAAATAAAATGAGTTACATAATTTTGTCTATTTCTAATATATTGCCTGTTATCACATGCTTTTCGATGGTTTATCGAAATGTATCAGTGAAATATAAAGCTGAATTTTCACCGTTTGAAACAGCGAAAATATCAATTTGATATTTTTCACTGTTTTGAATTTAAGCCTGTTACGTTGTTGCAGTGAAATACCAGCTTGCACAGTACTGAAAACTAACTTAATGACATGATATCGTAAATGACGTCACGTTGTATTATTATTTGATGCGCTTTTCATTTAGTTTTAGGTTAAAATGTTTTTTTTAAATGTTTCTTTGCATATAATAAAAAGAAAATTTGTTTACTTAAGTGAAACACCAAAAGTTCATATTTAGCGTGGCTGTGCCTTTTGGTGCTCGTTCCGTGAAATATATTATCATAACTGAACTAATCAAATAACATCTTTTTGCTGGTAATCACAGGCTGATCTGGCTATAACCTGATAGTTCATCCCCCAAAATTAACTATCTGGATACCTTATACAATATATATAATAATCAATGTCCATATCAATGTCTTTTATTGGTATCACAGAATTACAGTCTGATTTTCTCCTCAATCATTACTTAATTCAGAAAAGGAAATGTACAAACTTGTACAACATGAGCTGTGAACCTGTGTGATGGACAGTACACTGAGCTATAATTATCAGTGTTGAATAATAAAACTAGGGTGATTCAGGAATGTTTAAAGTTCACAAATGGCTACAGTTAAGTCAAAATCCATGTCATACTAGTAGTTCTTGATCAAGTGACCTATAATTATAATCCCAAGTACATGTATGCACCTTTGACAGAACGTTCAGCAGTTTATTGAGATAAGAAGTTACACATAATACCTAAACAGTTAATGCATTAACACAGGCGTGACCTGGATAATGCCACCTTTGATTGAATAGTTGAGCTAACAACTCCATAAAATCCACAAATATTTCCAATTTATCAAGGAGATATCAAAAACTTATATATTTTGATCTTGTAAGCTCATTATCTCAGTTACCTTTTCCCTCTCATCTCATAATTTAACCCTTACCACCCTAAATATCTAAAATGGACTTGTCCATCTTTCATTCAGGACATAACCATTCATCATTTCAAGAGAACATTTCATAAAATGTAGAAACTAATAGCAAAACAGTGCAGACTGTGATCAGACAGCATGAATCTGGCCAGTTGATCGCCAGTCTGCACTGATTGCACGGACAGAATTAGTTGAAAGTATACAGGTTTGGTCGTCGCGTAGCAAGAAAACCATAGTTACTGTACAATAATCTAGATACACAATTACACATCAGATGTGCTGACAAAGGCATTGACAAATTCAATTCTCTTTATATAATTATCTAAATGCGATTTTGTTCATATTACCTGAAAACGACTTTTAACTTTAAATTACAAAAAAAATTGACTAGACTTTCTGCAATGGTATCAAGTCTTCCCAACAATATCCTTCCTTTTAGCTTTGGTTTTAGTCTTTTTACTTTCGTCATTTTTCTGATCACTTTCTGAATCGTTTCCTTCACTTAATTTATCCTTGTCTATATCATCATTCACAGAATCGTCATTTTTCTCTTTTTCATCTTTATCATCAGTATCACTTGCTTTCTTCCTGCTTAGCAATTTTTTAAGCTTTTGTAAAGGGTTGTCTTTTTTCTTGTCTGGGTCCATGACAACAAATCTCCGTGTTGTGAGATTGTGCAGGGAACCGAATGCTATGGCGACCACCGTGCACGCCAAACATATGACGTTGTACGGCATACTAAAGTCTGGCGTCGGCAGTGAGACGAGCAAACTCTCTGTGTGAATCCTCAGAAAAAAATCACTCGACTTGTCTATCATACTGTAACGAAAGAATAGGAAAATTAGATATTTCCTGTAAAAACCAATTAGATATATGCCTAAAAAATAAATTTCAAATGGTATTAATATGGTTTTCAGATTACTTTACTTTTCATTCTACAATCTTACTCAAAATCATTTTAAAAAACAAACAAATAAAAATATGGAAGGCAAAATGACAATAATTTGTCTGAGATTTCTTTCTACAAAATCAGAATTCTTTTTAGTTCAGAGAGAGTTACTAAAATTAAATTTGTGAAATATAAAATTTGCTTGCTTGTCTAAATTTTGTGCTGACTTCAACACATTTTTTTTTATAACTCGGCAGTCAGACCACCTAACCTGTTTTCCTGGATAACTAACCAGTCACTAGAACTATCACTTAATGTGATTAATACCCCCGCAAGACTGCTTTGAAAATGAGGATGTTACTAGTCACTAGTAACATAAAACCTTGCAAAAGAATTAAAATACAGTTATGGTTGTTGGTAATAAAAGATAGTTATGGTTCTTGTATGTTGCATTTCCTTTTAATGTGGTTGACTATTGATGAAGTTTTATTGAATTACTCTGTAATAAGTCCAGAAAGAGTTAGCTTTATAAACACTGCACTTCCCCTCATTGAGCTTGACCATTGTATGAAGTTGAATTAAACATTAGATCCGGACAAGGAAAAAAAACAAAAGGCAATAACTCTACAAATACTGAAGATTGAGTTATGGTTATTGTACACTTCCTCTCATTGCCCTTTATCATTGTATGAAGTTGTATTGAATTTCAACTACTAGTTTTCAAGGTATGCACTGGACAAAAAAGTAAACAAAGGGCAATAACTGTAATTTGTCCAAATAAAGTTATGGTTCTTGTGCACTGCACTTCATCTCACTGCCCTTGACCATTGTATGAAGTTTCATTGAATTCAAACCATTAATTTTCAAGTTATGCACAGGACAATAAAAAGTAACAAAGGGCAAAACTCTTAAATGAGTCAAGAAAGAATTATGGTTTCTGTACACTGCACTTCCTCTAAATGTGCTTGATCATTGTATGAAGTTGTATTGAATTCCAACCATTAGTCTTCATGTAATGCTCTGGACAAAAAAAAGCAATGGAAAAGTAACAAAGGGCAATAACTCTGTAATTAGTCAAGATAGAGTTATGGTTCTAGTGCACTGCACTTCCTTTCAATGGGCTTGATCATTGTATGAAGTTATATTGAAATCCAATCATTAGTCTTCAAGTTATGGTACGGACATAAGAATGCAATGGAAAAGTAACAAAGGGCAATAACTCTGTAATTTCTTTAGATAGAGTTATGATTTTCTTATGCACTGCACTTCCCCTTATTGTGCTTGACCATTGTATGAAGTTGTTTTGAATTCCAACCAGTAGTTTTCAAGTTATGCTACGGACAAGGAAAAGTAACAAAGGGCAATAACTCTGTAATTAGTCAAGATAGAGTTATGGTTCTAGTGCAATGCACTTCCCCTTATTGTGCTTGACCATTGTGTGAAGTTGTTTTGAATTCCAATCATTAGTCTTCAAGTTATGCTCCGGACAAGGAAAATGCAACAGACCGCTGGACCGACCAACCGACCGACCGCCGAGTGACTCCTATAAACCCCCCAAACTTCGTTTCGGGGGTATAATTACCAATTTCTCCATTAGTAACCCGAGTAGAACCACCGACGTTCATTAGGTTGCTGGATAGCTTTCTCACATGAAAGAGTCTGAAGAGACACTTGCACAGCTTGAACCTACAGTGGTGAGGGGCAAGTGATTTGTAGTCAATGACCTTAACCACTCGGCCACATACGTCCCTTGTCTAGCTCTTGGATTGAACCATCAAACCCTGGATTATTAATCCAATTATCTCCCTAATGAGCCAAGCTGGGAGACTGTGAAATATAAAGAAATCTTATTCTGGTTTGAAAGCTTCCAATAATGACATGTGTAAAAACAGAAAATATAGCCCTCAAATGTAAAGCGACTATTAAATTACATCTTTAAGCATGTAAATATAACCTCTTCCTTCTTGTTTAATTATAATAACTTCTTGAAAGTAAGTTTACCTTTCTTCAAATGTTGAAGAATTTTGAGGCACTGCAGTGAACTGTTGCCCACTGGGTAATATGGTTGATATAATAGCAGAATTAACATAAAACCCATGGTTAGCATCCGGAGGGTATTCGGTCCACTTGAGGAAAGCTCGATCAAACTCCATGCTGATCTTTGTTACTGACAAAGCACGTAGCCTGAACACTAATTCAAGTTGGTATGGACGACTTCTGTCCTTGCCAGGGATAAAATGTGTCTTATCTGAAGGTAAAAAGTCCAGTAAATCACTCAATAAAATAATAATTTTTACAACTCAAATCATCTTTTTATTTCATATAAGTTAATATTTGTGACACATATTTTGGTTAAAGTACCTGTTTGTTTTAACATCATAGTAAAACTTTGTAACAATAGTGAACTGTTCAAGCATTTTATACCAGTAGGAATTTAGGAAATCATTTCTCCACCAGTAAGCAACAACTTCTATACACATCAATGATGGAAACAAATTTTCAAATTTATCACAGCAACTTTAAATAGCCAGTACATGTAATACATTTGTGCATATGCACAGGCCTTGATCTCCAGCATTTCAACATGGCTTTCATTAAGTTTCAAAATTTGGTTGTCAGACTGCAAAATATTTGACACTGGAAGTCAGATAATAATTGGCGAAAAGATGGAAATGCATGAATTTTGAAAGTCAAAAGCCAAAATCATAAGTCAATGACTCCCAAATTCCCAATAAAGGAAGTCAAGAATCAATATCATAATAGTAAAGTCACTGTCCAGATTTTACAACTATACAATACAAGGCTCAATTTGTGTTTTTATTGAGCTCAAATTAATAAACAGTATATTTTGTTGCTGTTTAGAAAAGAGTAGGGCCAGGAATTATATTCGAATATTCGCAACACTACCGAATATTCGAACATTGAAAAACGAATACGAATATTCGGAAAAAAAAAATGTTTTAATTGTTTTGTTTTTACTTTCAAATTTCAATTAAGATCGTAAATTAAACCCTTGACCTTCACTTGACCAGGTGTTCATATGTTTGTATAACGCGTGTCAACGATTATCGCAAATTAACTGTGAAAATTTGGGCTATAGTTACCTATAGTTGCACCCGTTTCACAGTTAGCAATTTACCTGTTAAAGAGTTTATAATGTATTTTTTCCGATTTTAATTAACTTATTTTATTGTTTTCTGTGCTATAATCTTTCTGATCAATCAATAATTGTCTTAAATTTTGTAAAGAAGAATAAACCGTTATGTTTTAATCGGTGCGTTATGAAAGCATGAGAAGTGTCTATATTCCGTCTGAAGATATTTTATTCCGTAGAAATTAGACTCCATGTTATATTTACTGTGATATAGCGATTTAATTTTATCTTAAGAATGTTTTAAACCTTATCTGAAATTATAAATAAATAAAACAATTATTTAATACAAGGTTTAGATTCAAAATAATTAGATATGTGTTATTGGGGCTAAGAGGCTATGATGATAACTGGCAGTCATGTGACCTACTGTTAATAAGACAAATGATCAGCCGTCGGATTAACCGAACAAAAACACTAAACTTATGAATTTATTTCAAAAGAAAATATGTATATATATCTATTTACAATAAATAAAATAAAAAACTTTGACATAGTAATAAAGGTCTTTTTGATCGCCATATTCCAAACAAATTAAACAAGAGCCCGGTTTGAGCCGGGTGATGCTCCCCACACAGGAAAGTACACATCTTGTAGTTTCAGAGTTATCTCCCTTGAAAAAGTTCAAAGTGCAATAAATCCAAAATAAGGCAAGGCAGAGTTATTGTTCTTTGCACTGCACTTCTAATCAATGCAATCTATCAACCTACAAAGTTTCATGTTGATATCTCTTATGGTTTCCGAATTATATCCCCGACAATGTTCAAAATGTAAAAATGAACAAAGGGCAATAACTATAAAATTTGGCAAGGCGGAGTTCAAGTTCTTGTGCACTGCACATCTACCCATTGAGATCCATCTACCTACAAAGTTTCATGTTGATATCTCTTGTACTTTTAGAGTTATTTCCCGGACAAGATTTTTTTAAAAGGGGAGATAATTCAAAAATTGGGCAAAACAGAGTTATGTTTTTTTTGTACTGCACTTTTACTCAACTTTCTACCAACAAAGTTTCATGTTGATATATCTTATAATTTTAGAGTAATTTCCCAGACAAAATTCAAAAAATAAAATTTAACAAAGGGCAATAACTCGAGAATTAGGCAAGGCAGAGTTATGATTCTTGTACACTGCACATCTACCCATTGTGATATATCTAGCTACAAAGTTTCACGTTGATAAATCTTATAGTTTTACAGCTATGTCCTAGACAAGAATTTTCTAAAAGGGGAGATTATTCAAAAATGAGGCTTAACAGAGTTATGGTTCTTTTGCACTGCACTTCTACTCAATGAGATCTATCTACCTACAATGTTTCATCTTGATACCTCTTATAGTTTTAGAGCTATGTTTCGGACAAAGTTCAAAGTGTTAAAATAAACAAAGGGCAATAACTCCAAAATTAGGCAAAATAGAGTTATGGTTCTTGTGCATTGCACATCTACCCATTGAGATCTATTCACCTACAAAGTTTCATGTTGATATCTCTTATAGTGTTAGAGTTATGTCCCGGACCAGATATTTGTATAAGGGGAGATAATTCAACAAGAGCTGTCACAGGAGACAGCAAAGCTCGACTAATAAAATACTGGACGCAGTAAGGAAGACAAAACTATGAAAGAAAAATCAATTATGTATAATTATGTTTTAATTTATAGTAAAAAAATAACATTGTTAACATAAATTCCAAGATTAAAGGGAATAATTCTAGCAATAGTCTCGCTAGAGTTATGAACCTTGTCACACAACATGTGTGTAATGATAAGATATATATATTTGAAGTTTGAAGTAGATACCTTAAAAAGTAAAGAAGTTATAAAATTTCTTACACAAAAAATAGAAAATCCTAAGTTCACTGAGAGATAAATCTGTAAATATTGCTTCAAGAGTTATGAACATTGTCACTAAAATGTAATTGATGATAAGGAATAAGTATTTGAAGTTTGAGGAAGTACCTTTAAAACAAAAAAGTCATAGTAAAAAATAACATTTTTCTTGTAAAAAAATCTAAGTTTATGGGGAGATAATTCTTGCAATATTGGTGCTAGAGTTATGAACCTTGTCACATAAGATGTGGATGATGATTAGGTACATATATTTGAAGAATGAAATTGATCCCTTAAGAAATAAAGAAGTAACAGTAAACAAGAGCCATGTCAACATGGCCATCCCCCGCCGAATGTGTTTGCTCATTGGAAGAATGTAGTAGAGCGGAATAATTCCATTTTAAGAGGTCTTTTGGTAATGAAAACTGATGGCTATAGTGATTACAGATTTGAAACCTATGTGAATACTGATGGCTGAAAATAACAAAGGGCAATTACTGAAAAATAATGCAGGGTAGGTTATCATTCTTGTGGTGCTGCATCCCTCCTCAGTAAAATCTATCCACCTATGAAGTTTCAAGTTGATACCTCAAATACTTTTTGAGAAAAAAATTGAATTGAAAAATTAAGTATGAAAAAGACACAAGGGGCAATAACTCAAAAAATTATAAAAGGTAGAGTTATCATTCTTGTGCAGTGCACACCTCCTGAGTGAGATCTATGCACCTATGAAGTTTCATTTTGATATATCAAAGGCTTTTTGAGTTATGCTCTGGACAAAAATTAATTTTGAAAAATAACAAAGGGCAATAACTCAAAAATAATGCAGGGTAGAGTTATCATTCTTCAGCACTGCACTCCTCCTCAATGAGATCCATCCACCTTTGAAGTTTCAAGTTGATACCTCAAATACTTTTTGAGATAAGCTCTGGACAAAATAGCATGAAAAAAAAGGGCAATAACTCAAAAATTGTATAGGGAAGAGTTATCATTCTTTCACACAACATTCCTCCTCAATAAGATCTATCCACCTATGACATTTCATGTTGATATCTCAAACACTTTTTGAGTTATGCTCCACTCAGGTGAAAAATTAGGTATGAAAAATAACAAAGGGCAATAACTCAAAAATTATGAAAGGTAGAGTTATCATTCTTGTGCACTGCACACCTCCTGAGTGAGATCTATGCAACTATGAAGTTTCATGTTAATATCTCATAGGCTTTTGGAGTTATGCCCTGGACAAAAATCAATTTTGAAAAATAACAAAGGGCAATAACTCAAAAATCATGCAAGGTAGAGTTATCATTCTTGTGCACTGCACTCCTCCTCAATGAGGTCTATCCACCTATGAAGTTTCAAGTTGATAACTCAAATACTTTTAGAGATATGCTCCGGACAAAAATGTCGGACGAAAGGACGGACGGACGGACGGAAGGAAGGACGGAAGGTCGGACGGACGGAGACTATTTCTATATCCTCCGCCGAAATTTTTCGGCGGGGGATAAAAATAGTATTTTTTAAGGAAAACTCTAAGTTCAAGGGGAGATTAATCTGAAAATATTGGTGTATGAGTTATGAACCTTGTCACATAAGATGTGGTTGATGATAAGGAACATATATTTGAAGTATGTAGTTTATCCCTTAAGAAATAAAGAAGTAACCGTAAACAAGAAAAATATTACATACATTCGTATGTAATATAGGTACGATTGCATACTACTTTTTGTGAAGACTTTTTATGCTTGCTGCATTATAGGTGTAATGTAAAATGAACAAACATGTCATGAGATATTTTATATCTTTAAACATTTTCATGGAATGTAATTAATGTATCATCATATTAAAGTTGCATGCCTTCAGATGAGGAAAATAATGTCAAGGAAATCAAAATATGAAAAGAAAATTCACGGTCAATTGACTGCTTTAAGCATAATCACAGAATAAAATTACAGGAAATTAAAAACCTTTTTAATACACTAAAGGTAGAATTACATCGCAGATGTGAGATATGATTATTTATTCATATTAACATCATTATTGGTTATATATTGATAAAAAAAACCCGAAAGACACAGTTTGTAAATATTTATTACAATAAAATATGAAACTAGAAATGTGTCATCATGCCACGGATGCCCCCGCATGCAGCCAAAATTTCAGATGTTATAATATTTAGTTCCAAATTTGTTTGCACAAATTATTTTTTTCATTTTAAGTTCAAAGCCCTTAAAACTTTTCAATGTTAACACAAACCATTTCCATACAATG